CTGATCTTGGCTGTAGTATGCTGAATAACACTTAACTCCATTTCCCGGCGCGGTTTATGCCACATCGTTTAAGTTTTTCTTTTCCGTCGCCGCCCAATCATCGTTCTTTGTTCAGAGGTAAATTAGTGATCAAAAACTGTGCCAAGTTTTAATTAATACGGTTTTATGTGAATTAATAGGGACGTTGTCTCCCCCCATCTTTTTGTTTTGGCTTACAAGTTTTCTGAACCCAGACTTCAAGGATGTATTTTATAGAAGTAAGGAAATCATACTTCCCTGATCGCCTGATCGTTCCTTTATTTGCAAACCTTCAAAATTGTAGTGCTGATACGCTCTGTACATACCTGGGGCAGCAGTAGATTTCTCGTACCTCTGGGTCTTGTTCACGAACGATAGAAAGTGGGAGGGAGATCGACAGACAAATTGGAATAACCAGTGACGTTCTGCATGAACATTGTGCCCGAACCGTTGTGACTAAATCACAGCTGAGTGTTACGACTAAGCTGTTTGTGCTGAAGTCGATCTTCATCCAAGTGCTCATCTACGACCATGACATAAGAACCTCGATCTTGGGTACAAGCGGCTGAAATTGGCTTTCTCAGACATCGCTGGCTCGCGCGTCTCGACAAAGTCCGCAGTCGGGTATTCGAATATGTCTCATTGTTCAGCTGCTGCTCCAGATGTAGAAGCCACGGCTACGATAGTTTTGGCACCTCTTGCGAGTGCTTCCAGAAATGTGGGCGATGAGCTGCTACTCGTTCGATCGGCAGGCCGAAGATCCAGGGAACGGCTAAGAATAACGTGCGGCAAATGTTTCGACAGATTCTAGCTTAGATTTGTTTGCTACCGAAGTTAGGATATTGGCACGGCATTGGGAACATCTAAGACTATGTCTGACATGGCTACTCCTAGGACCAAAAGAGATAAAGCCCGGAACGATAAACGCTAACGCAGTGTAAATGTGAATGGGAAAACTGGATGTTTATGACTGCTTGATGTACCACTAGCGAAGCCTGTAAAGGTCTTAAGCTCCTCTCGTGGTAGGAGTCACCACTGCATGTAGAATATTTTACATGTGAACATACTAATATATTCAGCATAGACATAAGTACCAAAATCGTACATTGCACGTTTAGAGTCCGGTCATCCCGAGCGTGATCATCGACCAGCTTTACCTATGGGAAGTAGAACGTGATAGGTTCAAGTTTGAAGAAGGAGTACTGTACACGAACTTTTTGTCAGATAGCGACTTCAACGCGCTCAAATGTCACGCACAAGTAATTGAATTTAATCTTCGTGTATCCCGGCTTTTGTTTAATAGTGTCCTTCAGTCACTTGTTTGTTTTTATTTTTTAGGAACTAGGTATTTTGTTATGGGAAACCAGCTCCAGTCGCCAGATCGTCGTATCGTCTGCAGGACATGAGGCGGTCAGACAGTTCTGGAAGAAACAGAAAATCAGCATGACCGAGCAGCATTAAATTGACGAGTGACCAGTGGACGCAAATATTTGTATAAATAGAATAATTCATGCTTGTGAAATGTCGAAAATTTTATTTATAACGATACATTTTGATGCAGTTGTTGCCGAGGTCGGCCACAATGCAATGACTGTTGGCAGTGACACAGATGCCGGTAGGTCGGTGAAGCCTGGAATCAGCACTGTCAATATGGTTGACAACTTTACCGTCGTGGTTCATCACCAGCACGTAGCAGAGTTTTTTGCCGGTAATTGTGGCCAGCACGTAGCCCTCGTCGTCCACCACGATACCGCCGACCAGCGGCGGTGGGCTATGCTCGATGTCGATCAGGTGGTTACGTAGCAGTTGGCCAGAGGCGTCGAAGAAGCGAATGTCCGAGCCGGCGACAATGATCTCGTTTTGCAATCCGATACACATCGCCGTCGCCTGAATGGTGCCTCCTTTCAGGTGGCCATTGTCCAGCGATGACGAAGCGACGGGAAAGCTGAGCAGCGGTTTCGCGTTTGCGTCGAACATGAAAATCTTCGTCGCTCCGGTGTCCAGTACGAAGATGTTGCCCCCTTTATCCACCGCCAGGTCGATCGGTTCGACGAATTCTGAGAACGAAAAAGTCTTTACTTCGCGGCCTTCGTTCGACCACTCGGTGACCATCTTCAAGCGCCAATTCAGTGTTAGGAATCCGCCGCTAGACAGCAGCGCCAGTCCCACTGTGCTGTGGTGCATCATACTCTTGCCGCTGAACTGCCGAATCAGCCTACCATCATGTGTCAGCACTTTGACCCGGTTGTGACCTGTGTCCAGGATGTATATGTGTCCCGCCGAGTCCACGTTGACGCGAACCGGTTGCAACAACGAGCATGTCTTCGAATCTTCGCTGGACGACGAAGTCGACCTTGAGTACTGCCACACAGGATTGATGTGCGGACTGACTTCCAGACACAATGGACTGTTCTTGATCGGTCTTTTAAATATCGATATCTGCAGGCAGTAGCGACCCGGGTATGACGGTGTAAACGTCACCGAATACGATCCATTAGTATTGTCCTTTACCGTTACGGGCACCATTTTGCTCGTGTCGTTATCGCCATAATAGTTAAGTACCGCTTCCACCGGATCGCCACCGGTCACTCGATAATGTCCATCATAGTCCACCGCCGTCAATAACACATTCGACTTCGTGTTGATCATCAGTTGCTGCACCTCGGCTACGCACAACGAAGGAAACGTCTTGCTGACCAGCAGCGACCCGAATGACGACACTGATTTGATGGCGTTCTGAATTGCTGTTTTCGAGCTACCCCGCTCGTAAACAATGTACGAGTTTTCCCGCGGTTCGAGAAGATTTAACGACGAGTCCAGCTTCTCGTTGAGGTCGTTGATCCGCCTAGTAATATGGCGAATGTTCGGTTGATTCTGAATGTGCGAACAATCGTTTTCGATCTTGTCCTTTTCAGAACGGATGATCATCAACTGTTCCTGAAACAGATGTCAGATCATTACGCCAGCAGATCGCTTATTGAGGTAAAAAAGGATCAGCTAGGAATGGCGTACAACGTATATTAAACAGGATTAAATGTCTGAATTTGAAATGATGAACACTTAGATTCTGAGCAATTGTTTTAATAATTAAACGCATATCTGAAGTTAAAATACGATTAATTTTTACTCATAAACGAATCCTCGAAAGTACAAGCGTTTCAGCTACTTGTTATGAATTCTCTGTTTCTTAATAGACTACGAAAGAAAAATCACCAATATTTTTGGATTTTAACCGGTGATGCTGGCTATTATACCGGACAGTTACCCAGTAGATGGGTCAAGGTTATGTAGCCATATAAAGAGCGCGTTTCACATAGCACAGTATCTCTTGCATACTGTGGTGAGGCCTCGCCAGAATGCCATGCTATTCCTGTTGTTTTCAAGTTCACCATTTACTTCCATTCCTAAAAACCCTCCATTTCTTGGCTGGTTGCATGTAAATCACGTGGGGTAAATTCTTCGCTCTAGAGAAATAGCAGTTAATGAATAGCTATCCCTTTTTCTGATTCGAACCATATATCTGCGGAGTTCTCGCCGATCTTTTAGTCACTATGCCACAACACGTTTTTTGTCACTTCCCTGAGAGATCATCAGTATGCTGACTTTGTTCTCTTATGGGATAGCTATAATGAGGAGAAATATATAATTTCAGAGGGGGTGTGCGAATAAGAGTTATTTCAGAAGGAGAATATTTTCAGTGCAGTGACAGGTGCGTTGAGAACCGATCAGTCTTTAAATAACAAACATTGCTATATGAAACAAAACTGCTAAAAAAGCCTCAGACAGTTCTTGCTTAGCCACCGAGATGAAGAAATTCTTTTGACAAAGTTCACCTGTTACAATTAACTAAGTTTTATACTGCAGTGACACAAATTTACAAATATCATATCTGCGCACGAAACATATTCTGTAGCATTATTGTAACTGTACGTTTTACGTAATTATGCATACATCGAAATAGTTATATCGAAATGATAGTATAAAACTAGAATACACGGTTATGTAATTTACGTATGTACAGACGTTTCGCAATTTCGTTATTTGTCAGCATGTGATTAGTAAATCAATTAATAAAATAGCATATCGCTATACTGTTACTAACATAATTATACATGACATGATGCGAATCACATATTCGCACTACTATCCTGCTTGTAGAACCTATTCAAGAAATCCTTTAACTGAACTACAACTGCATAACTTTTCAATGCTTGCAGTATACGGATACACAAAAGCATCAGTAGTTAGCTTAAACGACAGCTGGTTAGAAATGTTAAAACATACAGCATTACTTTTAAACATACAACAATATTAGACGACTGTTTAGAAACAAAAGTAAATTGATGTAACCCAGAGAATGGCAAAATAACTGACAATAAACGAGTATGGATTATTGTGAAATTATACGCTTAAGTATATCCGTTTCGTAATTTTCAAATATGTTTAGTCATATGCACCACAAATCGCGAAATACTTAGAGGAACGCAGAGGTAGGTTCAGCAATAATATAGTGAAACAGCGGTATTATTATAGTTTGGACACAACCGCAGAAAAGCTTCAGTTCATGCGCGTACGAACGATTTATCACTAGACCATAAGATTCCTCATATATTTATATATTAATCCTATATTATTAATTAATTTACCTTTTATTTTGTATA